GTGGTTCAGAATCATCTAACAATTTAGCTAACAACACTGTATGGGAGAAGCAAGGCTCACGATGGGATTCAGTTTCTGACTCTATCACAGCTCGCCCCTTACAGGAGAAAGTAGTAATTGGACCTGGAGTCGGTGTCTCACAGTCAAACTCACAATCAGAGTCCATAATAGTCTCTAATTCTGAGCCAGGCTTGGTTGAAGTAGTAGAAGTAGTAGGAGGGTTTGTAGAAAAGGCTTCGGAGCCGCTATCGTCAGATGTCTCAGCGTCAAAGAGCCAAGTGCGTAAATGACTTGGGCTACCAGGAATAGGAGGGATATGTCCCACTACTGGGCCAGAGGCAGAGCGTAGAGCTGGAGGCATTAGAGAAATATGAGATAGGCTTAGGCGAACTTAGTGATGTATTATGCTAACCTACTGGCTCTATTAGCCCTTATTTATGTTCATGAATCCTATATGTACTCATGAGATATCACTCGCACGCTTGGAACTACACACCATTACCCCCTTTTATGCGGTAATCTTCAGATACTCAAGACAATTTTTACTCTCATAATTCTCACTCGGATCTAATGGATATAAGCATGATCGTTTGACTATATCAGTTGACTATTTACTAGTGTTGATTCAAGTGAGAATACCAACACCTATTATCCCTTCTCAATTCAGCATCCAATCGTTGTTGCGCATGACCCTATGTGGGAACACACACTTTTTCAAGTGTTCCAAAATTACCTTCACAACGGAGAGTGACTACCCCTGCTCTGTACCATGAATTCATGATCCTACCTTGTACCAGACGTGTCTCATAAAGGCTTGTGTAACTTGGCTGTACTGTACCACACTTGCTTTTTTTAAATCTAAACAGGGTAGCCTCGTAGAGCTGTCTCGTTAACCTACAAGCCACATGGGGGATGTTTAAAACAGAATGTTATACGGTATCGCACTAGAAAGAAAAAATGTACAGGAACGCCAAAGGGTCACGTGTGGAGACCTTTGTTAATGGTGGGTAAAGGTGGAGGACCGATCGCACACCGGTAGACGGTATGATACATAAGCGGTTTTGCTTGGAACTTGGGTACTCGCGTACGGGGGATGTGTGGGAAATGACAATCATCCTTCTCTTCATTTGTCCACACTTCGTCATTTAGCTAAGCTAACGGTAAGGAGAGGCATATAGATAAAACATCATCAACGCATCCTGATCGTTTCGTAGATCGCCACTCCGCTCTTTGTGCCTCCGCACATGCTCCATCCCCTGGCGCGCTCCGGTGATAACAGAGGGAAAACATGCCTAGAGAATCTCCTCCGTAAATCACCGAAAGGCCATACCGATCTAACATACCCCTGAAATATCCATCGGACTCCCGAAGCTTCCATGATACACTCCAGTCATCCAATGTCAATCTAGAACCCTCGACATTCTACAGCTTTTAGGGATGACCTCCGCGCAATCCGATAGCTTGAATTTTCAGAAGACTTCTTTCTTTCAATAGCAAGAGCCTGCACTTGTTTCTTTTTGCGTCGCAGGCACGGCGTATTGGCCGCATACGCGTACCTGCTTATTTTCACCAAGCGGTCTGTGTTCGCGGGGGGGACAAAATGGCGGAGGGGGGGTTGGGGTGATCTCTCCCTTCACCTTAATCAATGTAGGATAGAAGAGAGACTTTATAGGCTGGAGGTATAATCTGATACCGGTATCATATGTTATGTTACGATGCTGGAATTTTGGCTGAGGGCGGGGTCTGGGGTGGAGGGTTTCTAGTCTCAACTTCTAAAGAGGAACAAAAGGCGCCTTAAGTCACCCTTCCTGCCCCTCAATTCTACAAAGAGCGCTATTTAATTAGTTGGTTAGTTAATTGGTTCATGTGGTTCGCCCGGAGATACCAACTGAGAAGGCTATTGACGCCACGAATAGTTGTGGAAACTAGCCGGGGGCGCATGGGCCGGGACCGCTGGAAGGGAAGCTGGGAGCATAGGACCCCGGGCCCCGGCGACGTGCGCTAAGTCCAGAATTCCCTTCCAATACCTGGTCAGCCCAAATTGACCCATTCCGCAGAGAACATCTGGGTGGATTGTAGATGATGTTTTATACCTGACTACTAACTAGATCAAAACTTTTGGTTCGATGGCCGTTCTTACACCGAAGATATCCACTTTCATCCCCCACCTCAGAGAACATCGATCCCTATGAAAATCCACCGGGATTTCGCGCTAGACTGCTAAACTCCTGTATAATACATAAACCATTACAGAACTCTGATAAATTATAAAGCCAAGGAGAGAAGGTGGATAAAGTAGGAGCTAGGGGTTGTCATGTACCTTTTTATGGGGCCCCAAGAAACTTTTAAGTCGCTTTCAAGCCAGTTGATACATCGTACGTCATGGATTCAATCTCAATCCTTTTTATTTGGGCTTCAGCAGAGTTGGGTTACAAGTGATTCTCTAGACAATGTCAAATTCCCTTTGTTTTTGCCAAGGTAGTGTTGGGGACTGTTAATTTGAAGATGTCCATCTTTCGCCAAATTTGGTGTAACAAATGATGTTGGGCCAAAGGCTCTGAGTTAGTGGGGCACTTTATATATGTTCCCCCATCCTGTTGGCCTCCGGAGGGAAATATTTTTCCATCAATAGTTCGTTTACGAGTAGTTTCCCATGGTCCTATACGTAACCCGTGCCGTCACTGGCTCCCTAGTGTGAGAACAATAAGCTAAGAACTTTAATTTCACCGTTGGAAATCATGGATGCTTCTCATATGCTCAGGGTGTTGTTTCATCGTTCGGATAAAAGATTTGGAGGTGCGTTTCGGATTAAGGCATCCGTGGGAGGAAATGATGTATCCGCCGGTAGCAAATCATGCACCCGTCGGAAGTAGTACTAGAGAGCCAATGGAACGGGGCGAAGGTTACGAACGGTGAGAGTCTTTGTGAAGCCTATCTTTCTTTTTATCAGCGTGGGAGTACAGTACCCAGCGGAATGGGAGCCTTGCGTGGACGAGAGTTGGTATGTGTGGCAATCAAGGGGAATATAAGGTGGTATCGGCCTTAGTTGCGATTCATATAATATACTCCTGTCTTTACCGTTTAGTTAGTTGAGTTGAATAAGCCAGCGGAGAGTTGAAAGAGAACGAATGAAGGTGATCGGGTCGTATTTTGTCGTATCATATTAGTAATTGTGTCACAAGTATCTGACGAGACAATTGGATTGTTTTCGGTTAAAACTGCTAACTTTACCGATGCCGTTGTCACATCCCTCCTTCTCCACAGCATCGAAGAGCCTCATCAAGTTCAACCAGCCAACCCTACCTCCAATCCACCCCCGACATTCCCGAGAGCTTTCCTGCCGACAAAAAACAGAAAATTCCGGTATTTTTTGTAATAGTATTGACTTGTTCAATCATAGCCAATCTCGTCCGATAACAACTCTGTCCATCATGTACCAAACATGTTGCGGTTGGCAAGAAACGAGCAGAAACCCTGCCTTAGTTATCCATCCCTCTTAGAGCTCGGGATACCCATCCTGGCCCTCGATATTGGGGGGCTGATAACGTAGGGAACTGCCAGGGCACGAAAGAATTTAAATCCCGGTACGGGGGTGGAGGAGGGGGTGGATCAAGTCATGCTGCATGGTTTTTGTGGTGGCAAACCGGAGGTGGCCAAGCCATGTGTGGATATGAAGTCGGGGGGGCGGTCCCGTCATGTCCCGGGGACAGGGGAAGAAATGAACTAGAACTAATAGGTGATGATGCTAGATCATTAGTACGGTAGTTGGCACCTTACGCATTGGGCCGGAGGGCGAAGGGTTGCTCCGGCTTGCTCCTACGATCGTACTCCGACCTCGCAACACGAGGGGACAGTCTCCAACCAGCATTTTGGGTACCCTGCTCATACAAGTCCCTAAAGGATTGGAGGAATTTCCTCGAGAAATAGACAATGCTTTCCGGGACAGGAAATGGGATCGGTAGCCGAGGGTCGCGACTTCCCAGGATCGTTGGGATGTCAGAGACCTTTTATTTTTCCCATCTAGATTTGCCTATAGTGACTATGGACGAGCATACGACAGAGTATTAATTCAAACGCTGGACTTGGCAAGTCAGATTCTACAAAAGTCCCCCGACACTGGGTTGTTCCTTACCGGGAGACCTCATATCTGAGATGAGATCGTTGGACGAGTATTGAGCACAGTCGCACGCTGTTGCCCTGGACCTTATTCTATCGGATCGCTGGCTGTTCCGGACAATTTTCAGGATTTGTTGAGATATGATAGATATAAATACAACCTACGGTGGCGGAGTTTGGGTATGTTCCATCCCAGTGGTAAAGAAATTCGCTTGTCACCCTGCGACTGGGATATCACTTGAACATCCATCTATCCTAGTCACGAAGTAGTTTTTGGGTTTTGTTTTTAAAGACCTTGTGTATGTTTTATATATAAGTCCTCATAAGTTGACCCCCCCCTCGAGCTGCTTCAATGCGTTCTCTAGCCGACAACATTTCCCCCCTCAGCAATGCCCGCTTTATCAACCCCGCCTCCGTTATGGTGCTCTGCAATGACCTGTATGCCCAACCCACTTTGAATGCATATTAAGAATCCATTATAATATCTTATGGCTTCATCCACCCGGGTGTAGAGAGGCATATGTGATCCCCGGGCAAGTGATTCTCCAATCCAGTAGCGAGGATCTCACTTGCGGGCGGTTCTCCCGGAAGGAGAAACCCGGACAAGCTCCCAGCATGAGTGCAACGAAAAAAGAGATCTACAAGTATGGATTAGCTAACCATAAAAAACTAACAGGATTCACAATACATCCAACCTCCACTATCCCAATAAGCAGTACAGTGGGATTGGAAGCGTTACAGCTCACCGGCCCAGCAGGGATGTTGAGTGGGAGTGGGGACAAGGGGTAACTATTTTAAGTTATGCTTATTTTCGTATAAATGGACAGTGAAGGGAAACGGCAAGGCACGGATTATGCCAAATCTGCACTGGTACATGAGGATAGATGAAGAAATGGCGGGTTAGATTGAGTTCACGGAATATTAGGCTTAAGGTTGGGGGAACGACGCAGACGCGCACTGAGGTGACAGGAGGAAGGAGAATGGTGTCTATAAAAAATACTAATATCGTATCCCAGGACTTGGGATGAAGCACGCTTCCAATGATACTTCTTCATCAGTCTAATCTTTCCCCGCACAAACCCCCAATTCCCCAGATTCTCCGAAATTATTTCACGAATATTTATTCTTCATCATCCCCTATCGCTAGTGAATTTAAATTTCCCCCTTTCGCTATGACTAGGATAGGTTGGAATTTATGATACTTTCCCGTTAAGGCATCCGAGCCGTAAAGTAGCCTACTCGGAAGCAGGCCGTCGACTAAATTATTGCACTAGTACTTTCTGCTCAGATGGAAAGCTAAAAATCTCTAATCCCAATCCGCGTAGAAAACATGCTTGGCGTCCAAAATTTTCAACATATTTTGCTCCAGTATTTATCGTGTGATAGCTGTTTAGGGGCGGGGTGGTATTGTGTGTGGCCTGCCCGACAGGAACACTAGTCAAATGCTCCTACTCTACTTTCCCCTCCTCCGAGCCACCCCCCGATACTAGAACCTCCTGCATGCAGGGTTAAGATTCCGGTTGATTCCTACTAGGTTACCCATAGCGGAAGTCTTAAGACTTAGTAATAGGAAAGTAGGGTCGAATATTGAGTGCGTTGGACTACCGTATTTATTGAAATTTTCGGCTCCATCACCCCTGTCATTTCTACTTCTGTCGATGACATGGGAGAATGGTGAAATGAGTAGTCGGCGATGAATGGACATCAAGGAACAAATCAACCGAGACCTTACTAACGAAGTTTCTCTTGGCAGTTAATAAAGAGAGACGGATTTCCTTCGCTTGATATTGACAATTGGTCACTTTGTTTTCCCCCTCGCCCATCACCCCACTGCAGAAATCTAAGTTATTACCCATCTTCCTTGCTTGCTCAATGTGTAGTTCTCCTCATTCCTTTTCACCTTTGTGAAAAGTTTTCAATAATTTGTAATACTTGATCAGCTCGGGCGAGAGGGATAAGTTGTTTTCGCAACAGTTCTGACTAAGCCACAACCTTGGCACGACTGGAGCCTGGACACACGCTTGCTCCCGATTCCAGTTGGTTCCTGCTAGACTACCATACCGGGAGTGGAAGTTTTGGACTTAAGGAGGACTCAGCAATCGAAATAAAATTGTATATCAAGCACCATCAGATTATTTATTGAATTTTTCCGCTTATTCCCTGTGTCCTTTTGCTGGCTGCTCTACCTACCCCATATTTAAACCTCGTTAGCACATATATGGGAAGAAATGACGTATCGTCTGAATCAAATCATGCATCGGTTGGAAGCACTGCGAGAGAGTCGAAGGGACGGAGCAAAGGCTACGAACCGTGGGAGTCTCTATGAAGCCTGTCTTGATTTTGTTAGTTTAAGAGTGCTCTGAGGAAAGAGAGAATTGCGTGGACGAGAGTGGTATGGTGGTGGTCGATGGAAAGATGGGAAAGTGCTTTTTTTTTTCGATTCATATGCTTGAGTGGCGGGATTGAAATCAGGAGGTGGCTAAGAGAGAAATGCGAAAGGGACTTCTGATTTCAATACGGCTGCTTGAGTATACTCCTGTCATTTCCCCTTTAGTTAGTTTAGTTGAGTGATTGACCAGGTAGAGCAAGAGGGTTGGATGAGAAGGAGCGAACATCCCCACATGCCCCAAAGTCGTGCGCTGGTGGTCGGAGTCTTATTGTTGCCTTACTAATCGTTGATGTTTCTCCGTTTAAATGCTATCATAATACCGGTATTATTATTATTATTATTATGGAAGTGATTTTCGCTTTGCATACCGGTACAGTACGCCTCTCCTTCAATGCGATCACCAGGGATTAGAGAGAAGTGGGGTAACAACCGCCGGATAGAAGTGTTCGTGATCCAAATTATGTTAAATCGCAATCGCGCAATACAGTTGCGGCTCATAGGTTATCACTGTGGGTATGGAACCCCGAGTATGCTACTTCCTTGGTTCTTAATTTTCATGATCTGGGCGCATCTTCTGCGATTAACGGGAGGACGACAGGAGCAGGCATGGGGTGAAGACGGCACTCAAAAATTTATCGCCTAGAGACAGCTTCGGCACTCCATCCACCTAATTCTTGCAAAAGAACCTAATCGCCTTGTAAGAGCTTATGGAGGCTCCAGAGACCTTATTAATGCGCACTTAAGATACCTTTGACGCTGTATTCTCTCCGTGGGTCTCCCCCGGTGGTAGCAGTTCAGCGGGTGGAGAAAGGAGCGTTAATATCCCAGGTACCCTTAATGGCCTACAAACATACACATTCACAGACACTGGCGAGGCAATAAGTTCCGCCGCGGATATCTCCTCCTCCAGACCTAGCCTCGCTACATCGCCCTCAGTGTGTATTAGAGGAGGGGCATCAACACCGAGTACCCGAACCCGTGCGAAGAAGCACTGGGCTGTTAACCCCCGCCCTACCAAGGAATCATTGCATGCACATCCGGTGCCTAATAGATCCAGCACGTTATCCACGAATACCACCACCTCCTCCTCTGCGGATCAAAAAGCGGAGACCTGCCAGCTCCGTGAACGGGGAGTTTCCCTTCACCCCCCCAACCCCACCTCGCCCCGAGCACACCAGCCGCCACCCCCGCCGCCCCCCATTCTTTCGAGGGGAGGGGGTAGTCTTCGAGTAACTAGTATCAACAATTTTATTCTTCATGGCGGAGACCATCGCCTATCCCCCGTTCTCCCCTCCAGGAGCTGCCGGCCACACCTACGCACTGGATCGGCATACTCTGCGGGAATCATTGAGCCGTCGTTCATGAAGAAATTAGCGCACGAAATGCAAAAGTGGATAGAAGAGGAGAGAAGGAAGAGATGAGCCATGGGCGGGGCTAGCGCGGAGATGTGGTGCGAAGTGGAGAGGGAATTGGCGGCATGGGGATGGGGATGGGGATTGGCGGTTTGGGGCTCCGCCGGCGTATCGTCTATGGCTTATTTTCTTGGAATATCCGCTCGC